TCCCTACATAGAGGGATGCCCTGGTTAAAATACAGAAAATATTGATTCAATTAAACTGTTGTAAGAGCTGTACAACAGTTGTAGTTTTGTGATAGAAACACCACCCAAAAGGTTACTTCGCAATAAAATGTTCAACAGAAATGCTTTGGTACCTTCTATCTGTATATATTTTCATTTAGTTGTCAAGTATCTTCTTCATAGCATTATGACTCATATTCTGGGCTTGATTTCAAAAACAGTAAGCTCCTGCACTTCTCATCAGCTTCACTGGGATGTGTGGGTGCTGAGCACTGCGGAAAATCAGGTCAGTCCTTTCTTTTGATCACACACCAATAGCACTAAAAAAGTGGCAGGAAAAAAAAGTCTTTTTCCTTTCCACCTGTAGTGTTTCCTAGCATGTACCTACTTTTAATATCCACCAGAAGTACCTCAATACTTTTGGACGTGGCATAAGAGCATCCACGTCTATGAAAAGAACAAAGAATCAGGACACATCCGTTGCTGCGCAGGCTGAAAGCATCAATTCTTCCAGCCAAACACGTGCACTCTCTGTCTTCCAGCAGATACACAGGTGCAATGGGATCATGGAGGACTGTATGGCCTGTGTGCATGTGAGGGAATACCAATTAAAGGGAATAAAAATATACTACAGACATGTATCTCATATAACAGAACCCAGACAGTGATGGCAATTTACCATTGTCCTAGCAGTCAAATCTTCCCTGAATTTCTGACACATGTTGGAGGCAAAAATCTATTCTAGGTAGAGAAGTAATAAGAGACAGGAGCCAGAAGGATCTTTACTGCCAGCCAGACTGGAATTCTGCAGGCCCGGGGGAGCAGTCTCAAAGACAGTCATGAATCTTTAACCAGGAACAGCGCTTGCTACAAGATAATTATCATGCAGGCAGCAAAAGCTGCAGAACACATGTAATTTCTGAACTATTTCAAATAACCTATCCTGTTCTCCTAGTTACAACCTTCAGTAAGCAACACAACTAACATTTGTTCTTGGTGAGGGTGCAACAGGTTGCTATACAGAAAGGTTCTGCTCTGCTGTGTAAATGGGGGAATGGAAAGCTGTAGGCACTTGCACCAGTGCTTCAACTGGGTGTGTGGAGGGGAAAGAAAAAGGGAAATCAGCCCAGACTCTATAAGCCACAGTCTAATGTGATGGCAACATAATGCCAACAAGTTCTCCCCATGAAGTCAGCAGGTCTCACGTTTCAAGAATATGCTGAGTTCTTGCAGGATGTGTGTTGTGGGCAATTGCACAAGCTACTGCCAGTCAATTGCTCAGAGATTTTTTGCTTCTCTGTAAAGCAGTGACTCTGGTATGTTCTGCACACAGCCTTTCATTCAAAAAGGTGCTAGTATTAAGCTGTAGAAATTTCTTGAAGTGCTAAGTTAGGTGGTCCTCCCATCCCACTGCATGAGACACAGTACCAGATTTAATGAAATGGCTACTATTATGATCTGCATGACTATAACATCAGATACATGAGACTGAGTTTTTAACTCGCCTGAAGCAACTAGCTTTTGTATTTTTAAAACTAGGAATTGCCTTAACTAAACCACACAAATTGTCTTGTATATCATGAAGTGGGCACTAAGTTAGAGAAGAGACAGTTTTCCAGGCTTAGAAAATTCTCTACCTGACAGCAGAAACAGTATGTTTATAAAAGGGATCCCCAGAGATGGGGATCTCCAAACTACAGAAATGCTGTATTTTCCTGTTGTGTTTTCCAACCGCACAAAGCAAGGATAAGTAGCAGAACATCTGCAGCCTCCACACTTCACAGATGTTTTCCTACACCTGGCATAACTACTCCATTGTTTTCTAAAACAGGGAGGAAAAAAAAAGGCATAATTGCTCTGTGCATTCCAGTTAGTAGCTGCACCTCATCTTCTTCCTCCTTAAAACTTGCCTTCTTAAGGACACATTTTGCCTTCTTAAGGATACATTTTCCATGACTGCTTTGAAGCAGTCACTCTGTCTCCCCCAGTATGGCCCCCTATTTATGCACCTGGACCTTAGTAACAGATTCAGTATTTAGCAGTAGATTATCTGGACAATGAGTGTTACAAAACAGTAATACATAAAATACAAATGCCTCCTTCCCTGAAATGCAGTATGAACAGTTTTGTCAGGTCTGCATCACTGGCTGACAGTGTTTTTCAGCTTTTTCAAATCCTGTTTTGCTAAAGCATATGTACTCCATGTGCTGCTTTGGCTGGACATGCTCAGATTTCCCAGTTGTGTCCATGTTTTGAGGTCAGCTACTTCAACAGAGAAATTTTTTTCCTTTCCAGTGGGAGGAAGAGTACAAAGAACAGAGTCAGGGTTATAACAATTCCCCATTGTAAGAGGCACTGACACAGCCAGTACTAACTGGCACCCATCTCCATAGAAATGCCATGTACTGTAAGGATAAAGAAAATGAGTTATTATCCTCTAGCCGCAGGGGAAGCATTCCCAGGCATAAGGAACAATGTGAGTGAGTCTGCATTGCTGCTTCTGCTGTTCCTGTACTATGGCTACAGCAGCGTTTCTCAACATTCATCCCTTGTATCCTTTCCCCCCAGGACACAGTCCGTATATTATCCCTCACCCTGAATTTGCAAAGCAACTGGCAATACATGATGCAGCTCAGTCTAGTAACTATGTGTCCCTTCTGTCCTGCTACCTGAGTTTTCCCCCTCTGCTACCAACCAAAGTCTTAGAAGAGTTTCAGCCCCGGGTACTGTTGTAGATCTTCCTGGCTGTATGTATAATCCCACCCAGATTTCTATGGATATTCCCTGGGACAGGTTCTGCTGTGTCCCAGAGGATCATGCTTTGAGCACTGCTGGGCTAAAGAGCTGAGATTCAGTTAAAAAAACATGACAACACATAAAATTTTAAACTCCCCAAACTTTACAGCAGTATTTCAAACTAAAGTTTCTCCAGGAAGAATTTTCCATGACCCTTTTTCATCTGTACCAGCAAATCACTTGAGAATCAATAGTGGCCACAGTTCAGTCTCTTAGCTGTCAAATCAGCCTCCAAATTCAGCAGTGAGGGGATAAGTCAAAGGTAGGAATAAACCTGCACAGCTTAAAATGTGCTCTGTGATACTATGGGGGGAGCAGCTGAGTCAGTGAATGCCCTCCCCGCCAAGAGTCACATCTCCAGTCACATCAGGATTACATTATTTATTGTTGCTGAAAAGGAATGAAAGCAGAGCACTAATAGTGCTAAAATAATTAAAATAGTGACACTGCTGGACAGATTTCCTTATGATTCTCCTGTGGCTTCCTGCAATTTAAACTGGGGTAGGCTGTGCCAGTGGTTAGAGAAGCCAAGGAGCTAAAGATTAAGCAGGTGGGACTCTTCTTTGAGCCAGTTCTGACCATACAATATAAGGGAGAAAATAACACTGAACAAGAAAGAGAACTGAGGTCCTGATTCATCTAGTCAAGAGGCAGTTCACAGAGAAGTCTGGATTAAATCTGGGAGAGCTATGTAAAGTGATGTGAACTGGCAAAGAAAAAACCGGATGTACATTTTCCTTGATTCAAAGTACAAAAAGAACAATTTACAGTCAAAAAAAAGAGTAAGAGGTGGCATAAGGAGGAAGGCACCAGCTACAAGAAGCCGAACAAAGGCAGTTCACCCTCCAGTTTATGTTACATGCTCTCTCTAATTTACAAAGTTCTTTCTGCTAGATTCTCCCCTTCAGACCTTTGGCACTGAGACGAGCATAATCAGCCCCAGGTAACAGGCCACCTTCCTCTCCCCTCCCTTCTCAGCATATAATTTCAGATGGTTTTTATTTCAAGTTTAGTTCTCAGGCAATAAAAATGCAAGCAGCATGTTACAATTAGCGGTGGAGTTCATATGCAACTGTACCTGCCTCTAAACCCACAGGAATATAAAGCTAGGCTTTGCCAGGCAGGGGCTGAAACCAGGTGCAGCCAGAAAGCTGAGATGGGAGGAGATAAAAGGAAACAAGACTTGCTCTTTGGCATCAGAAGCAACATGTAATGATGGCAAGTTCGCAGAATACTTTGCACAATGTGGCAGTGAGATCAAAGTCAGAAGTTGGGGAAAGATGGGATGAAGTGGGAAATGTTCAGGGCCCAGGGAAATCAGAATGGGGGGAGGAGGGGAGGTGTCAAATACCTGGTAGGTATCAATAAATTGAGAGTTTTAGGCTTCAAAAGATGAGTGGGCTGGAGTCAAGGCATTGAGAGGGAACAAATCCTGGAATGCAGCCTTCAATAGCATAAGACTATTTTGATAGTCCTGGTTCACCTTCTATTTTTTCCAACTTCTTACAGCAGCTCATTTTGCACCATCCCACCAACATAAGTGAAGTCTTTGCGTCGAGAACAAAACTTACCACATTTATGCTCCTATATCCAATTACAGTGAATGTTACATCCCAAATAAACACAATGGAAATTTCTACTTAAAAGTAGACACCATGATGAAACCATTAATTCTTTACATTGCCTTGTTATCATGTTATCTAAGAGTATTTAACAGCTTGAGCAGGCCATTTATTCACAGGCCTCTTGTCTGGACACGAACTGCATTTTGCTGGCTTGGCCTGGGCTAAGGGTTGACATTCATTTGTAGGTATCCAACTGAGTAGAAATGCTCAAAGAATGAACCCAAATCAAGCTTTCTATCCCAACCAAACTATCTGCACATAACAGTAAGGCAGTATCTTTGTTTACAATTAGCATTTAACAAATACAAAGTGTAAAATCAGTCATCCTTGTGGCCCTTATCCACTTCTTGTTCAAATTAC